GAAAGCTAAGGAAATCTAAACAAAATACGACGTTTGCTGTAAATGTGTCATACTATAAAGTGTTTATAATGGGAAACTGGGTAAATGGGAATAGTGTAATGTTGTCTGAATTTTTCTTTACATCTAAAACTTTTTAAAAATAAAGACTAATAAACATAATGAATAACTTATTTAATGTGCTCAATTTAATGTGCTCAATTGCTAATACATCCACAGGCCAGAATAAGGGCATCAGATCCCCTTATAGATGGTTGTGAGCCATCATTTTTTTATGATTTATTTATTTTATGTATGTGAGTACACTGTAGCTGTTTTCAGACACACCAGAAGAGAGCATCAGATCCCATTACAGATGTCTGTGAGCCACCATGTGGTTGTTGGAATTGAACTCAGGACCTCTGAAGAGCAGACAGTGCTCTTAACCGTTGAGCCATCTCACCAGCCCATGAATAACATTTTAAAGTAATTTTAAAACTCAAGCCTGAACATCATTTGTTTATAATATCTTTAATGTTTTATTAATCCTTTGAGACTTTGATGCTGCTCTGTGCTGGAATGTTGGCTGGCTTGATCTTGTACAGGCAGCCATAGCTGCTGAGAGCTCATGGTCCTGTCAGATCCAGAAGATTGTTATGTTCTACCCCAGCCTCTGTTCTTGCAGTCTAGCTAGGCCTCTTCTGTGATGTTCCCTGAGCCTTGGGGGTATTGAGAGGAAGTGAGTTTTCTTTAAAATTTTAATATGGCTGTCATGCGTGAGCAGAGTTGAGTCACATTCTTACTTGTGAAGACCTGACATCTGAATTTTGAAACTCATGGGTAGCAGTTATGTGTATATTCATTTCCTTAGCTGGTTGTTTTTGTTTATTTTATATGTTGTTTAGATGTTTTAAAACTATGTGCTTGTAGTTAATTTCCTGTTTCATTGTAGATGTTTATCTTTAATATAATCATGCCTCTAAACCTCAGTGTCTTTAAAGATTGGCCACAGTGATTCCCTAAACTTGAATGACAATATTTAATCTTTTCTTATTTTTCAGTCTGTTTTCTGTTATTTTGATTCTGACATTTGCTTTCAGATAATTTCTAGCTATCTTACAAATATACATATACAATATTTTAATAAATAGCAGGATTTTTTTTCACAGGCCAGTCACTACACCTTTTCCTCTAGTTCAGCGGTTCTCAACCTTCCTAATGTTGCAACCCTTTGATATAGTTCCTCATGTGGTGAGTCCCAACCACAAAATTATTTTTGTTGCTACTTCATAACTGTAGTTTTTCTACTGTTATGAATCATAATGTAAGTATTCAAGTTATCAATTGTAATGTAAATGTCTGTATTTTCCGATGGCCGTAGGTGACCCCTGTAAAAGGGTTAATACTCACAGGTTGAAAACCACTGCACTAGTCTTTCAGTAATTTGTCAGATTTATAGGTAAGTATTTTGTGAAGATATTTACTTATCTTGAAATGACTTTTGACTTTCATCACCAATATCTTTCAGCCTCTTGATATACAAGTGTTTGTTTTAAATAATTATTTGTAATATTTTCTGCACTCTCTTGTACCAGTGCTAGGGAATTTGTGTACTCATTTATCTATGTGGTACTGAGGCTTAGCCTGGGCAGTGCACATGCTAGAAAAACACTGGGCCACACCCAGTTCACGCTCCTGTTAGCCATTAGGTAGCATGTCTACTGCACTGTTGTTTATAACTTCTCTAGGCTATATGGGTATTTAAATGTTGCTTTCCTTCTTTGACAGGTGTTTTTAGTTAATTTTTTTCAGTTCCTACAAGTAGAGACTTGTCTTGTCTGATTATGTCAGGGTTAGTGACCAGATGACTAACCAGCTATCCTTTCTGGAGAGAAGTAGTGCATCTTTTCAGTTTCTTACTATGTAATTCAGATCTAGAAGTGCTATTCTGACCAAAGCGTCAGTCTCTCTTCAGGGATTTGCTCAGCTCTTTTCCTACCCGAGTCCTCTGAGTGCTGTCTCTAGACCACAGCCTGGATCTTTACCATCCTGCCCTTGACTCTTCCCTCTTAGAATATAGAATATTTTGAACTGTTAGCATTCATTAATTACAGTGCAAGGAATCAGACACAGGCATCCACAGATTAGGTTTAGGCACCCTCCCTGTAAAGCCAGCAGGACTGCTGTCCTGTTTTATAACCAAGACTGATAAAGGTTCTCACTTATTATTTGCCCTTATTCTAGAATTTGGGGGGTTTTTGTTTGTTTGTTTGTTTGTTTTATGTTTTTTTGTTTGTTTTTTTTTCAAGACAGGGTTTCTCTGTGTAGCCCTGGCTGTCCTGGAACTCACTCTATAGACCAGGCTGGCCTTGAACTCGGAAATCCGCCTGCCTCTGCCTCCCAAGTGCTGGGATTAAAGGTGTGCGCCACCACCGCCCGGCTAGAATATGTTTGTATTTCATTTGCCATTTACTATGCTGTTGTTTAATATCTGTGCTTATTTCCATTTTTTCCCTGTTAGAATGTACACTTTTGGAAGACACAGATTGTTATCTCATTACAACTGCTGTCTGTACCTTGTATTTATCAAATATGCCAGAAATGCTGTTTTAAAAATCAGTTTCATTCTTTCAAATACTGGTTAGAGATTTTATTTTCTCATGAGGGTGAAATCCTTTTTTAACATTCAGGGACGGTTGAACTAGGTTCTAAAGCTTTTTTGGTCTCCTATTTAATCATTTAGCTTAGTAAATTTTTAATTAGAATTTAAACAAAATAATTTTTTATTTCTGTATTTTCAACTAAAAATAATTACCATATTAGATATACATTAAAACATAGTTTAAACTATAATAAATACTATTGATAACAAAGATAATTGGAGGTAGAGTTGGTATTTGAAAAATTCTAAGTATTTCTATATGTTGCCATTATTTGCCATGTTTTAAAAATACAAATAAACCCTTAACTTTCTAAATAAGCTACTTATTACTTAGATATTAGTAAGTTTTCAACTTAGCAAAAACAATTTTGAGAAAGATTTGAAAATTTTTGAGTGATATGTAAGACTCTTCTGACAGGAAAAATAATGTCCAATAATAAGATAATAAATAGAAATCAGGGTGGTTACTGTATCTAAAACATCTGCCATAAGATTGGAGACTGCCAAAAGTGGGCTATAAATTTGTCATGCCTTTTTCCTCAGTGAAGTGAGTAAATAAGAAAACATGTTTAGTTACATGATCGACTTGCTACAGTATGAAACCAGAGAAGTGTCTTTTGTGATTCCTCACCAAGTAGTACCGCCTTATGAAGTACATGAGCCATGTTGTCTACAACATCCCTGCGATAAGCACATTTACAATTTGGTGTGACTGATTCAAGTCAGATCATTGAGTACAAGCCAGTGACATACTATACTGTTTTACTAAAGGACAACTGTGCTGTTATCTTCTGAGAATCAAGGAAGTTTCTACAACAGCATGTTCCAAGGCACTAGTAAAATAGATGACATCTTTTATATTTCTAGCTGATTAAAAATGGAATTATTTTGTAAGGCAAATATTAAAAATTGCTAATTTTTCATCAGGTATGATGATGCATGCCTTTAATCCCAGAAATTGAGAGGGTGCCTGGCCTCTGCAGCAAGTTCTAAGCCATCCAGGACTGCATACTGAGACCTTTCTTAAGAAGACAAAAACTTTTAACTCGAAGCTGCTTCCTTCAGAATATTGGACGCACATCTTCATATTTTGTTCCACATATGCATGTCCTAAGTATTGTAACTGTAGACTCGTTAGAATAGTACATTTAGGGCATATGTGGGAAAATCCTCAAGCCTCCATTTAGAGCCCTGATAAGTCCTGCGTTTGTGCAGTGAACAGGCCGAAAACACTAGACGCATGCTTGAGTTGAAGTTAGTCCTCTGTGAGTGCTGGTAGAGAGTGATTTGGTCTTCAGCTAGCCCTGAGGTGATGCAGGTGTCTGTTTCACTGCTGCTCAGTATAGTAGCTGCAGACACAGTGGCAGTCAGTTACCTGCAATATGGCTAGTGTGACTAAGGAAATACACTTTTTATTTTATTTAATTTTAATTGTTTCAGATTTAAATAACTATGGTGAACAACTGTGCTATAGCGAATACTTAAGATAATCAGTTTTATAGAGAAAAGTGATATTTTGCCTCAGTGTTAGAGGCTCCAGCCCACAGTTAGTTGACTCCATTGCATTGGCCAGCACACCATAGCAGTAGCAAAACTGTCTATCCTTGGTCAGAGAGCAGAAGAGAGTTCAGAAGACACCAGAGGTGTACAGTCCCCTTAAAGACTTTCCCTGTCCCCAAGCCCCACATATTCATGGCATAGAAGGGCTCCAGAACCTTATAGGAGTGTACAATGCAGAGCAAACCTTTACCACATCGACATTTTACACATCACAGCCACAGGATAGCAGTAGCTGATCATGTGTTGAGCAGTGTGGCTCTAATGATGAAAACAGCTGCCGGGCGGTGGTGGCGCATGCCTTTAATCCCAGCACTTGGGAGGCAGAGGCAGGTGGATTTCTGAGTTCGAGGCCAGCCTGGTCTACAGAGTGAGTTCCAGGACAGCCAGGGCTACACAGAGAAACCCTGTCTCGAAAAACCAAAAGGAAGGAAGGAAGGAAGGAAGGAAGGAAGGAAGGAAGGAAGGGAGGGAGGAAGGGAGGAAGGAAGGAAGGAAGGAAGAAACTACTTGCCTTTAAGGATAAAGATAGAGCAAGCGGAAGATTATGTTGTCTTATAACAATTAGAAATCTGAAATTTGTAAGACACATGTGTTTTAAGGTAATGATTATTTATTTGCAAATTTACTTTTCTGATTTTGAGCTTTAAAATTAACCAGGATGTTTGAGTACAAGGTTCACCTTTTAAATATCAAAAGAGTTGCTAGTAACTAGCAGTATGCTAGGACACTTTACAGTTCTTTTATAGAATATTTGTAACAGCAGAAAACTATGGAATATTGATGCAAGGCTGTTTTTCTTCAGTTTCCAGAGTGTGGATTCTTTGGCATGTATGATAAAATTCTTCTCTTTCGCCACGACATGAACTCAGAAAACATTTTGCAGCTGATTACCTCAGCAGATGAAATACATGAAGGAGATCTGGTAGAAGTTGTCCTGTCAGGTAAGCAAATGGCTCCTTTCCCCTTTCTCTGTTCTCCCACAGAGTGTTTGCTACACCAGTTCCGTGTTCTGCTGCACTTGGCTTTGGCACTGTATAATTGCTTCTGTAACGTGTAGTCATGGTTTCTGCATGCTTTTCACTTTCAGGAAGGACATAGCACTATGAGAAAGTAGGAAAACAAACTGAATTACTTATGTGTTTTGAAGCTAAGGAATTGCCAGTTAAACTGAAAAGTTCTTTTTCTACGGGTCAAAAACATAAAGGAAGATTACAGTTGTTCCTTTTCCCATTTCTGTTAAAAGTGTGGAAGAGAGCCGGGCAGTGGTGGCGCACGCCTTTAATCCCAGCACTTGGGAGGCAGAGGCAGGCGGATTTCTGAGTTCGAGGCCAGCCTGGTCTACAGAGTGAGTTCCAGGACAGCCAGGGCTATACAGAGAAACCCTGTCTCGAAAAACCAAAAAAAAAAAAAAAAAGTGTGGAAGAGAGACCTGAGGTTCCAAAAGGAGAATCTGGATAAAGAGAGAAGTATTAAAGACTCGGAAGAGAAAGTGTCAGTGCTGGTTACTTGTGTGATTTAAAACATCCCTTCCCTTCCTGTTCCCGTGGACATTTTTCATTTTCGTTCCCACCTTACCCCTTCTTGCCATTCCTGCTCCCTAACTCCCCCACCCCACCCCCACTTCCACTTCCCCAGTAGCAGGTGAGCAGGCCGGTCAGTGAGTAGTGTGAGGGCGGAGGACTGCCACAAGGACGGCATCCTTTGACTGGCAAGATAAGAAGGTTGGTGAGAGAAAGGGAGCAAGTGGTCAGCAGACCCCCACAGCCCGGCCGCTTTACCCTCCGGCAGTCACCTTTTAGACTCTTCTTGAGGACCTCCCTGGCCCTTGTGTCTCCTTACTGGTCCTAACAACTCTCATCTGTTTCTGATTCTTTGTCTCCCTGACCCCTGCACTGATCATTCTACACCACAGCCCCCTGGCTTCCTTTCACCCACAGGAGATTTCTGTGCTGGTCTCCTCTAAGGTTGTGATCACATTCATTCTTTCTTGGCTGCGGACCTTCCCTCAAACCACAGGCACCTCACTAGTGACTTTCAGGTGAAGTGAAAGAGCGGTGTTTCATCTACTGCTCCATTCCTCATGGAGAAAAAAGGAGTCCTGGGCATCTGTGAGCTCAATGTCTATTTTTACAGAAACACTGTGATAATAAGGTCAAGTTCCATAGCACTCTTATTTTTACATTTTACTTCAGTGTTTCCTTTCTCAATGTACCCGAAGTTAAGCAGTTTTTAATGGGTTAAAGAAAATGTAATAGCTATTTGCCATCTTGTTATGAGACAAAGCTTTTGAAATACCTAGACTACAGATTTCCAACTTGGCTTATTTGGAACTTAACTCATTTAAAGCTGCTGGACTTGTAGAAGAACTGTTTTTAAAAACCACAGTATTGGACCAGAAGGATGGCTCAGCAGATAAAGGCCTCTGATTTTTGACCTCTGGGACACACATACTAGGAGGAAAGATCTCATACCCACAGGCTATCCTCTGACCTCCACATACGCCATGGCACTTGTTCTTCCCCTAACATGTGACACACAATAAACAAAAGGGTTTTTTTTTAATTTTATTAAACATTTTAAATCACAGTTTTAAATGCTAAAAATAATTTATTTTGTGGTCAGCTGAAACTTTCAGAGAAGTTACCTTGTGTTTTCATATTAATGGATATGGTGACTGGCATTCCTTACTAATTTGCAATTATAAAATATAGTTTAATACTTTTGGTTTTGTTTTTATGTTTTTAAAAAAGCCTTGGCCACAGTAGAAGACTTCCAGATCCGCCCTCATGCTCTCTATGTACATTCTTACAAAGCACCTACTTTTTGTGATTACTGTGGTGAAATGCTCTGGGGATTGGTACGTCAAGGATTAAAATGTGAAGGTAAGAGGTTTTAAATTTGTGTATTAATTTGAAAGAGGATTTACATTTTCATTTTTGAATTATCAATGAAAAGACAAAATTCATAGTTGGTTTCTAGGTAGTAAGGATTTAGAATTGCAAAGATGAGAACTCTGGTCTTTCCTTTGCCTTCACCTACTGCTTCCTTTACATAGGCAATTTGGCTGACCTCTCCAGAGACTGTTTTCTCTGTGAAAGATAATTGACTCTACCAGTTTTACAAGTTGTAAATAAGATAACATGAATAAAATATTCAATATAAAACAGTGGCTTAATAACTCTTAGCCACTTATTATTATAGAGCTTTATTATATTCTTAGTTTTTTCTTAGTTTGGCAATTTGCTGTAAATTAGAGATGCTAGGGCATAGCAGTTCATCAGACATAAGTCTGATTAAGAAGCAGTGGTGAGGGGCTGGAGAGATGGCTCAGCGGTTAAGAGCACTGACTGCTCTTCCAGAGGTCCTGAGTTCAAATCCCAGCAACCACATGGTGGCTCACAACCATCCGTAATGAGATTGGATGCCCTCTTCTGGTGTGTCTGAAGACAGCTACAGTGTATTCATAAATAAAATAAATAAATAAATCTTAAAAAAAAAAAGAAGAAGCAGTGGTGGGTCAGGTGACTTTCTTTGTAAAGTACCGGCATGGGAATACATTATTAAGGCTTTGCAGGCTGTATGGTTTCTATTGTGTCTAACCTCTGCTGTGATAGTATAGAACTAACCATAGGAGCCAGAGAGGTGGCTCAACAATTAACCATAGATAATATATAAGTAAACAGCAGACTGTGTTGCAATAAAACATATTTATAAAGTAAGTGAGGGACTGTAGTAGGTAAAGTGCTTACCATACAAGCGTGAGGACTGGAGGTCAGTCCCCAGGAGCCTTATAAGAAGCTGGGTGTGGTGAGATGCATTGGGGAAGTTAGGAGACAAGAGAATCCCTAGGGTTTCCTTACAGTTCCAGGCCCCAGTGAGAAATCCTGCCCCCAAAACAAGGTGGCTATCTCCTACACAATGAGAGCTGAGGTTCCTCTCTAGTCTCCATACTCATATAGAAATACCTGCACACACATGACACACATACAACCTCTGTGTTATAATTATGTGTTTATAATTGCACAATACTAAATCTATATTATTATTTGTTATTATTTTATATTCATGAACACTGAGATTTGAGTTTCATCTAATTTTCTCATCATTGAAGGTCTCTTACACACAGGACACAGTTTGCCACTGGAGAGTGCTTGAAGCCAGTAGTGGCCCTTAAACTTTTGCCAGGTATCTTAAAACATGCTTTACTGGGCTCCACTTCCACAGTTCTGAGTCTGTAGATTTAGGGATGAGTCTAGTAATTTATGTTTCCAGTAAATTTCCAGGTGGTTATGTTAGCTATCATAAGTCAAGATTCACTACCCTAGTTAAATTAACTTTTCTAAATAAACTTTTCTAAACATTTCCTATGCTTGAATTTGTTATGTCCCACATCATCTGTTATCTTAGTTCTTAATTATGGTTGGTATTGTTGCCAGTGAAAATAAATAAAGTAATGTTTTTTACGTGTCACATTTCAAATAGTTACATTTAAATTTTTTATATTTTACTCTTAAAATATATTTAGGCTGTGGATTAAATTATCATAAACGATGTGCCTTCAAGATTCCAAATAACTGCAGTGGAGTAAGGAAGAGACGGCTGTCAAATGTATCTCTGCCAGGGCCTGGCCTCTCAGTTCCAAGACCCATGCAGCCTGAATGTGTGCCCCTTCTCAGTGAAGAGGTATGTATTCTCAGGTCATAGAAGGCATTTTACTAGTTATTTTACAAGGTATATGACATTCTAGAACAGGTGATACCAGAGAACAGTAATGCTCCTACACTTAAGGCACTTTAAATGCAATAATGATGACAAGACTTCCCAATAGCAGTAGTTTGTATTGTGTGCCCCTTGGGATTGCATTATTGTATAGTTCACTGTTTGAGCCTCCTTTTCATTATCCTGGGACCCAGAATCCAGACTTCACTTAATCTTACGTGTAACCATAAGGTCAGGTTTCCTAATACACAACTCCAATTGTTTCTCTCCACTAGATAACTGTTAGGGATATCCAGAGGAGCAAAACCTATACAATACTGTGTGTGTGTGTGTGTCTGTGTGTCTGTGTGTCTGTGTGTCTGTGTCTGTGTGTCTGTGTGTGTGTCTGTGTGTGTGTGTACACACTTAAATGACAGAATTTATTACATCGGCTTACATGGTCAGATTCTCAGTAGTCCAAAAAGATCATCCATAGACTGGAAAGCAGGAAAAACTAATAGCCTCTGAATATGAGGGTCAGCTGACTCAAAGTACACTGGAGAGCTGTGGCACCAGTCTGTCTTCAGAGGCTGATGCATGTGCAGTCTGACATGTACAGTGATGGTGGGAGGAAACAGCTCTCCACTGAAGAGTAGCATAGTTGTGAACTGTGCACCCTTCTGCTCTTCATTGCATCTGGACCTGCAGCCTATTCAGTGGCACCACCCACATTCATAGCATGCCTCTCCCTCTCAGGTATTCCTCATCACTGAAGATGTGTTGCACACAGGACACAGTTTGCCACTGGAGAGTGCTTGAAGCCAGTAGTGGCTCTTAAACTTTTGTCAGGTATCTTTTTTTTTTTTTTGGTTTTTCAAGACAGGGTTTCTCTGTGTAGCCCTGGCTGTCCTGGAACTCACTCTGTAGACCAGGCTGGCCTCGAACTCAGAAATTCACCTGTTTCTGCCTCCCAAGTTCTGGGGTTAAAGGTGTGCAGCACCACTGCCCGGCCTTTGTCAGGTATCTTAAAACATGCTTTGCTGGACTCCACCTCCACAGTTCTGAGTCTAAGGTAGCACTTACCTAGACCTACAGTGTAGCCTAATTTTTTGAATGCCATCACACTTTTGAAACCTTCTTGTTTGTGAATCTAACATTCTGCCTAGTGTCTGTGTACTAAGTTATAGAAAACAAGGAATAAATTTCTAAAAAAATAAGTAAATAAAAGCCAAGATAAAAGCTCCACTGAGTAAGGAATTAAACTTGGAAACAGGCATATTGGGAGCAAACCCTTAAATGTAACTCTGAGATTGCCTTTTTCTGCATGTACAAGGCTATTTCTATCATGGTCATGAAAGACAGTATAAAGAAGTTTATGAATGTACAGAAATTCTCTCTGTAAATTTCAATCTGTAACTCACTTTGCCTAGTACAGTACTTGGTACTCAGTTGATACAAGTGAATGAATGATCGTGCTGGTTATCAAAATGTGAGGTAGATCACTAGATCTGTTATCTACAGGACTCTGGAGACACAGAGTGGTTAAATGACTTTCCAGAGTCATAGGGCAGATTAATAAGAAACACTTAAGTTCAGATCTTATTATTTTTAAATTTGTTATTTTTCCCCTAGTGTAGTATTCCTTTAAGGATAAATACAGTAGTTTGCTGAAGATTTATGTGTTTAGTAGTACTTGAAATGGCTTATATCTGTAAATTGTAATCTTGCCATTAGTTGGTTTTAAAACCTCTATCTTCTCTATATTACTGCTATCAGGACTTCTGTACACTAGTACAGCGCAAAGCTTTGGGCTATTGTCTATTTTTTATTGGATATTTTATTTATTTACATTTCAGATGTTATCCTCTTTCCCCATTCCCCCTTCCAATAAACCCTCATTCCATCCTTCCTCCTTTCTGCTTTTTTTGGGTTTTTTTTTTTTTTTTTTTTGGTTTTTCGAGACAGGGTTTCTCTGTGTAGCCCTGGCTGTCCTGGAACTCACTCTGTAGACCAGGCTAGCCTCAAACTCTCAAATTCAGAAATCCGCCTGCCTCTGCCTCCCAAGTGCTGGGATCAAAGGCGTGCGCCACCACTGCCCAGCTCCTTTCTGCTTTTATATGACTTTAATTACATGCAAGTATTAAGGTCAGTTCTAGGTTGAGGAACTAGCAATATAATAGATGCAAATAGTCAAGAAACAAACAAGGCAATAAACACAAATAGTAAAAGAACAAGCAAGGCAATAAACAAAGTTCTGTGATCACTCCCATGATCATTATTTCTAAGGACCTATCAGGAAGACCAAATATCTGAGCCTACTTCCCTGTCCTAGCCAAAAATAATTTTCATGCCTGAAGCCTACTTCTTTGTTCTAGCCTAAGATTTAGATTTCTGCCTGAAATTACTTTTTTGTTCTAGCCTAATGTCAGATTCCTGCCTGAAGCCCATTTCCTTGTCCTTGGCTTATGTCAGATTCCTCCCAAGGAGCCCAAAAAACTCTCCACGTCTTCCCCATTTTTATTTCATAAACAAGACTGAGCCTGTCTTATGTCATTCTGACAAGAATGCCTTCCTTACCCATTGTGGAGTATTATCAAAAGCAATGTATTTCTGTCTTAGGTTGGTAAGGCTCTGTGCAGAATCTTACCTGTCCTTGGCTTGCCAACCTGTTAAATTAATAACTCTGTCTGGGGGTCCATTTTTAGTTTCAAGTGGTGTACTTTGGCTGCCAACATCTTGATGTTGTTAAAGACAAGCTTTAGCACAATAGGCAGGAATAAAAGTATTCCCAGGGAGGGAAAAGGCTATCATGCTCAAGCTGTATATGCCATTCTTGAAGCTTGACCAAAATGGAAATACTGACCTCAGGCCATGGATAATTTTATCTGCAAAATCTACCACATCAAATCTCAGCAGAGCAGCATTCTTTGATTTCATAATCTCACTATGCTAAGTTAAAACGTCCAAAGAGGTGTTAGAATTATGCCAAATACCCTGCAAGTGTCTTTAGACTCTTTCTTAATTATAATGACTATCATAGTAAATTTTAGAAGTAACACAACTCCATTGGTACTTGGCATGACACTCGAGATGGCTCCTTACTCTTAAACTCTGAACCTCCTTCCAATAATTTGAATAGGATAAAGAGCATCAATCTGATGTTCCAAATGCCTATGTAAACCCTCTTGTATACTCAACATATTAGTAACATTTTTGCTAAATGATTAGCAAAAGTAGCTGTCTTAATTTGTTGTGTCAAAGCAATTGCAGAAGCAGTGGTGCTAGTAATTAATGTAATTAAAGCTGTTATACCTGCAGTAATCAAGCCCACTACCCTCTTGCTTCTGCTTAAAACCTAACTTAACTTCTTCCAGTACTTGCAAGCTTTTTTCAGAAAACCAAGATTCTGTAATACTCAGAGAAAAATCTTTACAAACTGAGATATCCAAGTAAACGTTTATGTATTCCTCTTTTTAAAATTCTCCTGTTTGCATACCACTTAGCCACTAGAAGAAATTTTTGAAGCAATAAGATTTAAGAATCTACAACTTAGTACTGACAATTTGAAGGTGAAATAGTTGAGTATCCCTCTCAGTATATTTCTGAGGGACCAGAACAGAATGGCACTAGAAAGAAAGCATCAGGTATGAGCCAGTGCTCAAAAGTACCGGGACTCGTCTCACAGATTGTTCAGTGCTGATTATGTATGTAGAGTCGATGAGTTTTCTTAATGCTTTTATTTCCTTTAGAAAGAGTGTCTGATAATTGGCAATGATGTTGCAAAGTTTTGTGAAGAATTAATTAGCTTACAACTAAGCTAAATTGGAAATAAGTTACTTTTAGAAAATTTCTGGCTACACATTAATACAAGAAAGACAATTAAGCTAATGCTAATTTGCAAATAGAGGTCTTTAAGACAAGGCCAGAATTTTCACTCAGTTCTTGTTATGTTGATGTCAGTGGTCCCATTTAACCAAATTCTCTTGCTAAATCTACTGACATCCTCCTCCCTTCTGCTGCTCATACCTCTTGAGTCTGCCATGCCTCTCTTGCCAGCATCACTGCTGGAGGCAGCCACTGTGACTGAGGGGTCACACTGATTGATGTGAGTCACGGTACACTGAGGTAGGGAAAAATGTTAAGAATTTCAGGAATTCGGTGTAGAAAACCTAACCACTCATTTTAATCTGAGTCCACTTTCATATTTAGATGGGGATAGAATTTAAGTAACCCTGTGACTGCTACAACCACAGGTTGACAGTTGTACCTGCCACACAAGCTCTGTACTGTGTCCCTAGTGCCCTGATACCAGCAGGACATGAACAAAGGTAATAACTGGCCACAGGCAAATAAAAGTTCTCTTTACAGGGGTGTCCTCTGTATTGGATGACTAATAGCAAAATCAGTTTTACTGTGCCTTGAATAATTTGAACTTGAGACAGACCAAAAATAGTAGATGGAGGAGCAGGAAATGCAGAATACACTGACACATCAAGAACCAGCTCAGAGTGCCACCTCTGACCGGGAAGACAAGGGCTGGAGTGTAGTCCTTTCAGTCATCTGGGGAGGTATTCAACCTTTGTGCCTCAAAACGTGATTATGTTTAGATCATCTTCCAGATATATAACAGAGCACTTAGCATATAGTAATCACTGGATGTGTTGTATTCAGTAAATGGAATGAGCCACACTGAACTGGCCTATAATTTAGCTTGATTACTCCCTTTGCTTAAAGAGAGCTATAGTTACAAAAATCCACTTATCTCTTAAAGCTACACAAACGTTTTTAATTGTTCTTTATTTAATTTTTTAGCTTCACTTGGAGGGAAAAAAATCCTCCAAAAACACTGGAAAATATTTGCAATATCAAGGAACTGCTTCAGATCTAATTACTATCACTAGTGCTATTTAGTTTTCATTTTGTTTTGTTTTTGTCTTTCAGCATTTAGTTCAAATTTCTACAAACATATTCTAGTATTGTTGGGAACTTGTGAAGTAAGTCTTGTTCCAGGCTATTTTCAGTATGCAGTGTGAGCAGTGACAGGCATCCCTCAGTCCGTTGCTTCTCCAGTGATTAACACTTGGTCAGCTTTGAATAGTTATTAGGTCTGCTCTGAAGTCATTGTTTTAGTTTTGTTGTAAAGTGCTAAATGTGCCTCTCAAATACCTCTGTGTGTGTGTGTGTGTGTGTGTGTGTGTGTGTGTGTGTGTGTGTGT